TTCTTAAGCATGGAAACCAAAAGGCATTAACATGATTTGATTTACACACAATTCTTTAATGAACACGTCTAATTCTTAATTTCAGAACTTTTTGAAATTCTGCATTATCTTAGCTGGTCGTGTTAAGAGCTGTCTAGTAGGCTCTGACTCATAGCCACCCTGTGTAGGGGTCAAGAGTAGAAAGAAAACCTTCTCTTTCTCCCTAACAGCAGCTGGTGGGCTTGAACCACATACCTTAAGGTTCACAGTATGCCTGGGTTCACATACTCTAGAAAGAAAAATGATTTCACTTAGCCCATGTGCGTAGTTTTTCATATGACTAGGGTCGGTGGTTCAAGCTCACCCAGCTGCTCCTGGAAACCCTATACAGGGTCGCTATGGGTCGGAACCGACTGGACGGCACTTCACAACAATAACAATATATATACGTACACACACACACATATATGTTGTTGCTGTTGTGAAATGCCATAGTATTAAAGTCGGTTTGTTCACCATCCGCTCCTAGGAATCCCTGTACAGGGTCTCTATGGGTTGGAACCGATTCGACGGCACTTAACAACTATATATATATATATAATATATATTAATATACCTATAGATAGAGAGATTGATACAGATATATAGATAATCTTTCAGGTGCTTTCATTTTCCATCGAAGGTTTAGGGAAGGAAGTTTTATTATGTTGATTTAATACTTGGGTATCTAAATAATGAGTACAGGAACAAGTTAGAAAGAATTTGTATGCATTCTCATTCTTCAGTCCAAATTCCTACCTGTTTTCTCTATAGCCGTTGTTTGTTTAACCTACTTAAACCATCAGGGCATCGATCTTTCTCTAACATTTCTAATGGTAGTTTATGTAAATCTGTGATAGCAAAAAGACTTTACCAGTCGGAATAAGAGTTGCTTTTTAAGCAAAATCTCAACAATAAAGAAAAAGTAAGGGAAAGTTGTATTAAGAAGCCCAGGCTCTCATCTGCCTCATCAGGTACGGGAGACACTTTTCCAGAAAGACGTTCAGGTTCTGGTATTGTTCTCTGTCGTGGCAGAGCCAAGGTCTGCTGTTCGTGACCCGCTACACTCAGGCCAGAGCACTGCGAGCGACAGCAGGCTGCTAGAATTACCTGTCCTCTCTCTTCACCCTTCATCCTCGCCGTCTCGCTGGAAGGGGGTGAAGTGGTTAGTTTCTTACAGGCTTTTCTCTCGCCCGGACAGTTTTAGAGTGTATAACTGGGGGTGGGTCCGGACGGACCAGTCTTGGGGTCAGGAAGTCAAGCCTTGAAATCTCAACTTAACTAATGCGAAGGCCCTTTATTTTTCATTTCTGGGCTTATTAAATCTTGAACGTACAGTTTTGGCCTCCTGGGGAAGGTGGGTGCTGGGGTGGGGCGTAAGGCTTGCTGCGGCGGACTCGTCCACTCTCTGTGGACCCAGGTCCGCCCCTAGAATGGTGGTCTGTTTGAGGGATCTGCAGTCCCTCCAGGGGCCTTCCTTGCCTTCCAGGCCCCGACTCTATCCACCTCCCTGCCTGTCCCTCGCCATTCCTAAATTCACTTCCGTCCTCACTCGCAACCCAAAGCATACAGGTCACCACTGGACAGCTAGTGGGCGCGAGGATGCAGATTCCTGGGCTTCTCTAGGACGCCGAGGCCGAGAAGAGAGTGCGGGTCCTGACCCCACTGTCTAGGAGGCGTCCAGGGAGTGGGCGCTCACTCAAGGTCCGGCCTTTAGGCATCAGCGCCGGGCTGCGCTCAGCGCGCGAGCTGCTCGGAGAGCGGAGGTGCCCGCGGGGGGCCGCGCGCCGGGCTCCTGGCCGTGAGGAACGTGGTGGCGGTGGCTGGGTTCCACTTGCCAGCGGCGGGAAGGACGGGCGGGAAAGCGAGGGAGCAGGAAGCGGGTGGCGACGGCGGCGGGCCCACTGGAAAGGAGGCGGGAGGAGGAGAGAGGAGGGAGCGCGGAGGAGGGAGGCAGAGAGGAAGGAGGGAGCGCGGCAGGCAGGCGGAGGGAGGGCTGATTAGCATGCAGCAGCGCTCGCGCGCCCGGCTCCATTGTTTTAACACCTCCCCTCTCCTCCGCGCCAATCTGTCACCGTTCAGCAGGCGAACGCTGCTGCCTCAAATGCTGCTCTTCTCAAATGAGACGGATAATTAGTTGCCCCGCACGAATGCCGCACTCTTCTCACCCCTGATTGCTATCACCTTCTTGCTCCTGGCAGTTTTGACACCTCGTAATCAGCCTGCTGCTTTTCTCTTTTCTTCCCGACTTCTGCTTCCCTCCCCCTTTCCTTCCTATTTATTTATTTATTTATTATTATTTTAAAATGTAATCCTGGTTCCTATTTGAACGAACGAGGCCTCCGCTGATTTAACCTTACGCACGTCCTCGTACATGTGTGCATAGATATAGATGTAAAATAGGGTGTAGGTGCGTGAGTCGAGGGTGGCGGGCTTGTACTTTTGCGGGAAACACTGCTTCTACGCGGTGAGAATTCTCTTCTAAAGATATTTTTGGGAAGGGAGGAGTTGGGGAAAGGGACGGGAGGGGAGAGTTGGGGAGACCTCAATTAATGCTTTAAAGATCTCTTAGAAATTAACAAACTGGGTAGTCTCGGAATCTGCTGTCAGAAGCGTGTTTTCCCCTCTCTCCTCTAACAAGCACTGACAGTCTAATTACTGTAGCTACAAGCAGCTGTCGAGGCAGCAGCCTAGGCGAGAAGGCGCCACAGCCTGAGCACACCCGGCCGGCCCCTGTACCCAGCGGATCCGCGGGAACCCGACCTGGCTCCAGGGAAGCTGAAGAAAAGCATGAGGCCCGGCCCTAGGCAGCCACAGCGAGCACAAAAGGCGGCCTGGGAGCCCGCGGACACACTCATTGTTTCATATTTATAAACTCTTTACCTTGAAGGTTAAAAGACCTGAAGAAAAAAGGAGGGGACATGGGGAAGTGGGAAGAAAATCTCCTGAGCGTCTATCCATCCTTTTTCTACCTCCTCGAGCTCTCCCTCCACCCGTGTTGGTAAAATAACCACGCAACCCGGGGCTGAGGGGGCGGGGTGAGCCAGGCTGGAGTGTAAGAAAGCAGATGTCCCCGCTGGCAGCAGCCTCAGCCTCCGGGGAAAGCTGCACCGGGGGGCCCTCCTGAGGACATTCACCTCCCACTTCTCAGGCATCCCGCTCACAACTGCCTCGCCTCGGCGGGGGTGGCTTTTTCAGACTCAGCGTTTCGTGTGTGCAGCTTTTTTACCTGGGAGCTTCCTACCCGGCCACGCTTAGCAGAATGCCAAGAAGCAGCCCCTTGGTGAGGAAACGGAGGTGCCCACTCCACCTTTTGGGCTGTGGCCAGCGCCATCGCAGCAGGGACAGGAGCCTGCTCTGCAGGTGTCTCTCTTCTCCAGTGGTCCAAGAGGGCGTCTGTCCCTGGGAAAACGGGGCTTTAGATAGAGCTGGAATCCAACTGAAAACAGCAACCCGTCCCTGCCCTCCGTCCCTTACTAAAAGTGAAGATGGGAAAGGAGTGGCCGTGGGAGAGGGGTCAATGATAGTCTGAATCATCTTCTTGGTTATAGTTTCCTTTGGTTGTCAGCAGGCTAGTAGGGGTCAACTGTGTGAGAGGGACTCTCCCCTTCGAGTAGAGGGAGAACGAACTTCCTTTCACAAGGCAGGTACAGTGGTATATTCTGGTTGGTACACAACTAGGAAGTTTTTATTTTTAATTTTGTATGTGGGAGGGGTAGGTGAGAGGCAAGGATGGGTGGGCGGACTGTAGGGGGAAGGGAAGAGGCTTGGCTAATTGTCTAGGCATTTCCATTCAGCCCCAGTGGCAATGAAAGAAAGATGTACACGCCTCAGAACCCTTCACAGTGAATACCTAATGGTCGCTATCTCACCTTGGTGAGGAAGATGTCAATGTGATGTGCTTGGCACCCTGAGAAGTTGAGGCACCACTCTCATTCTTCCACACGTTAAGTCTCTTCACGGTGGCATGGATGCAGGGGCCTGCTTGAATCCCTGCATCCCAAACCCTCCCAACTTAAAACACTGTGCTTCAAGATGGCTTAAAATTCTGTTTCAGAGTTGCAAATCAATGTTTACTTCATAAAATGGAAGCATTTTCAAAAGTCTGGGGAAGAGAGAAACCCAACAGGCAAAAAATCTTTGGGAAGAAAAAACAAAATGTTAAAAACAAAATTCATTTTAAAATGTTAAAAACAAAATTTTGCATCCTTCTGAATTTAGTATCTTCTTTCTCAAATGTCTTCCAGTGGCCATCAGTCAAACTGCTAACAATGAATAACAAATTTCTTAACAAGAATAGGCACATTTCTAATCTAAATTAATACATATGGATAGTCCTTACAGAGTTTTAGATTTGTTCCCATTAAATCCAAATATGTTTCTTTTGTAAGTTTAGTTTGAAAAAGATTTTTAAGATTCAAAGTGACCCCGTTGTCAGAAAACGTCACCAGATCTGGTCATTACCCTTCTATCTGGGTTACTGGAAAGAAAACATGAATTTTAAGAACTTTCAAAAAATGTGATTTATTTCATTTCTTTTTACTCAGAAACAAAGAAGACCTTAGTGATCACAGCATAAGTAACCCTTTTAATACTAACTTATTTTTATATGTAACTATATACAAAGGAACAATTAAAACCATGTATGTTATTTTAAAAAACTAAATTATTTGATTTTACCAGGGATTTTATCATCGGCCAACAAATGTCTTAAGTTTGGCTTTTAGGTTAGATGTTTATGCTATTACCCTTTATTATAGGATTATTAAAAGAATATCACCTGTATCATAAATAATCTACATTTAAAGATGAAAACAAATGGAAAGAAAATCCCTATAAACATTTAACATTACTAAGTCCAATTGCTCTAACTAGATGAAGTGTTTGAAATATACCTGAATTATGATTATACAACTTAAGTCACAATAATTCTGAATGATACTGATAACACTGTAAACATGAAAACAATGAATTATAGATCTGTACAGAATGATCTTTTAAAAGATAATTAAGACAGTTACAAATTTAAGGTTGGAAAAAAATTCAAATACAGCACTGAATTTTTCTATAAATGTTCTTAAGTTTACAATCAAGTATTTATAGTATTACAAAACCAAAATCATATAGAAGTTGATATGTCTGTTTCCAAATGTCTTAAGTCTCCCCATTAAAGTGTGAATTAAGATGCCGGAGGAAATCCCCCCTGGATGTAATGGATGGTGGGAAAACTGCTTGACAGAATTCACATACTCGAGGTATATGCAGTTCTGAGTCTGTACCACTTAGTACCAATAAGTCACTGTCTTGATTAGGATAGGGCTTCCAAACAGGCTGCAAAAACAAATAAACAAAAACATCTTCTGTTATTTGTGTTTAAAATCAACTTGCATTTTGAATGAGTTATGTGTATGTATTTGAAATTCTTTAATAATAACCACCAAGTGCTGAAGTTTCATAATACGAAAGCAAATTACTTTTGCATTAAAGTTAACATGAGGACATGATTCAATTCTCTTTTTCATAAAGGGCACAGCAATGTTTTGATTAAAAGCCACTTAGGATACCTGCTCATGCATTTTATTCTCACATATTAAAAAATATGCCAGCTTCTAACACCAGCAATTTTTAATACTCATCATCACAAGGGCAGGAATTTTGGAACAATGATAAATACTGTAGATAATTTTATTAAAAATCTACCTTTTCTATTTTACAATAGAAATTTTAGGTTATAAAGTCTTTATTAGTCCATACTATACTTGGGTAAGAGATGCATAGGTAGGCATACATTTTAATCAACAGCAATTTAAATTTTAGTATTTATAAACAAATGCACTTATTTGTTTATAAATAAGTATACAAATTAACAAGTCATATCAATCAGTGTTTTGATTTTAGAAAGAAAAAATTTGAAACTAGCAAACAAATTTTATTGATAAATCATTTTTCTTGAAACTTCAAATATTTAATTATTCATCAACAGAATCTAATATGAGAAGTATACTTTTGACTTCTTACTTGCTCCTGTTACACTATGCATAGTTTGGTCTTCTTACCATTCTTTATGCTGGAATAAAGTGAAACCTGTCTATAATAGTTCAATTAAAGAACTATGGAAAGTTGTGATTCAACAGAACCACCTCCATTCCACTCTAATCGGCCCGTAAAGATCCTTCAATAACTACATCTATCCTTCACTTTGAGTAGAAGAGCAAGAAATAGCATTTAGCTTAATAATGAATACTAGTTGCTCAATACATAATGTACTATAATATTATTTTCCTGAATTGTATAAACCGCAGTATTTAAAAAATCTTGCTTTATTACTTTAAGAGCCAAAAGAAAAAAACAAAATAGAAATTCTGATACTTTGAGAATAATTATCTTTTAAGCAAGTTCTGAGAAGCCTGAAGAGACCCTCTGATGCTACTTAACATACTTGATAGTGTTAGTTTTCATTCTTTTAACTACCTTCTATCTAGTTAACCAATCATTTACTTAAACAGTATATTACTAATTGAAATATTTGAGTTTCACACTATCACTTGTCGTCTTATAAACATTACTGGACAGCTGTGTACAGTTGGTGTAAATATACAAAGCTGTTTAGGCACTGAAGTACAATTCAAATATCAGTTCAAGAAAGGCTTGTAACATTGACTAAATTTCTTTTGTGACAATCTCAGAATTTTTTCATAAAAAGAGTATTATTTAAAACAAAAAGTATTATTTAAAAAACTTGGGAGTAAAATAAGATTCTTAGGAAAAAATTTTGTTCTATGATAAAAGTAGTAATCATGATATATATAAGCAAAAATCTAGTTAGTTAACTAGATTCAAATTTTAAAATTTGCAGCTTAAACCAAAAGTACAATTGGTTAATATGCACCACTCTAATGGGAAGTTGGTATGGATATAAATAAAAGTATCACTTTAGAGCTAATTCTTACTGAGATCTATAAAATAGTAAGAAATGGATTTTGAAACAAGTTAGCTTCTAAATTTAGTTAAGTCAATCTTTTACTACCAATTTACCTTCAAATTCCATATTTATTTTATTCTATTAGGATTTATTAGTTCAGATTTGATTTCCCACAAAATTCAGTTGGGACCCAATAACTGACTCAGCAAAAGAAAGAAAAAAATGAAAATCACATAGAGCAAAGATCAGCAGATATATTTTAGAGTTTATTATAATTGAACATATGAAAAAAGTTTTAAGTAGTAATGACTAATATAAAGTCAAAATCTGAAATAGGTAACTAAATTTTCACTTCTCTTTGTTACTATCTATCAACAAGTCAAGAATTTTGGATTGATCATACAATTATTATGAATAAAATACATGTTTAAAAAAAATCTATTTTAGAAATATTCTTTCAATCCCAAACTGTAACATGGCCTTCAAAACAAACTAATTTCTTTGCTTTTTCTGCCAAAGTATCAATTATCTAACCTTATGCCCCATGTCTTGTGACAGCTCAACACCAATGCTCCTGCATTTTTTAAGCTGTATACTTCTCCATCAAGTTGTAATCACATACCAGCTGTTTCCCTTGCTGTAGTATAGAAAGCAAATGCACAATGCAGGGTGCCATCTACTGAAACATGAACGCACAGACTAACTAGTAAAAGAACAAGCAAGAGATATAATGGAGAAAAAAGTAACAAGTATTAGAACTGATGTACTTCACAGCTCCACAGGAATTCTACTGGCAATAAATGAAATTGTTTAATTTGTTTCATTTAGCAGCAACTATAACTGAGACTATGATGAGAAATAAGGTACAATGTGGAATATAAGTGAGTTAATAATTAAGACTTATTGTCAGATATTGCCTAGTTCTTCTTCCTACTACTAAAATATACCCCAGCATGACTGCAGCCTCCTTTGTATGATAATCTAAAGGTCTAACTAAACCTACAAGAGTGTTCATAAAATCAAAATGTACTCATTAAGTTTTTTTTTTCTAATTAAGTTTCTCAAGGCAGAGTATATACATGGAACAAATGGAAGCTATACAGACATCTACATCAATGTGTACTCTCATGTGTTTCTGTTTGTTTTTATCATTATTGTAACAATTATACATTTTCATTGCCTTCAGGGTTTGCTTTAAATTACAAGAACCATTCTGTGATAGACTTAAATCTAAAAGGAAGGGTAGGAGTGGAATGGGAGCTGTAATAGTCCGTGAGCCTAAAAAAATTAAAGTTATTAGGCTAAAATCATACGGTTGTAGAGATTATTTAAAACATATATATTAGGCTTCATACTCAGTGCTAGATTAGAAATCAAAAACTAACCCTATAGATCTACATTCTGAGAATATGAAATTAGGTGCAAGACAGTTCACTTATTTTGATGAATAGAAATATATAATACAATGATTTACTTATGGAAAATTATTCGGTCTTACAATAATATATAGTTTAATAAGAAATCATTTGTTTCATGGTATTAAATTTAATAAAGAATCCTGTGATAATATTGATATTGAATAAACAAGCTTTGAATAAGGGACTAAGAAAGTGACACCATAAATAAGGTTTACATATATTTAAAAATGTGCCATAAATTTTAATTTTCTTTATTATAGGGCTTTTATCATATTTACAGTTTACCTCATGTCATGTTATTTATTACAGGCTTAATATTTTTTTAAAAACTTTAATTTTGGCTATTCATTAATTAAAAAAAATAAAGTCAATAACCTAAAAGATATACATATCTGTGTATATACGGCAAAACGTGTATTCATACATACTATATTTGCTAAAGCAAAACAATTACCTGCTGTGGTCCTCGGATAGTGCTTCCTGAGGAATCGAATGAGGGAAAAGGTGCATCAGATGGGTCCTGAAGTGGGAATGTATTTACATATAACTCATTATGGTTTCCAGGTGGCAAACACGGAGCTTTATCCAGAGTTGTCCTGATACAAGTGTTTACAAGATTTGAAGGTTCTGTTTTGTCAGTTGTTTTAAGGTTTTGTATGGCTGAAGCTATGGGGTCAATTGCCTGATTTTCAAATAAAATTTCTTCTGTTTTAATGAATTTTCCTGAGTTGTTTCTGAGCTCCATATTAAATTTGTCCTGGCACATTGTCTCAGATGTGGAAGGACCAAGAACTTTGGGTCTCTCTGGAGTGCTATGTAAGAAAGTAGAATCACCGTCCATAGGTGGAAACTTGACATTGAATTTAGAAAGTGATTCAACAGAGGTGTCTTCCTCATCTCGGCCCAGCCCTCTTGGTGTGACAGATGTGATGCATGGTGCATTACTATTTATATCATCTTTAGCCTGAGGCTTACAAAGCACTTCTTGTTTATCTGTTTTATCCGTACACTGTATAGGCACAGAGTACTGTGTTTCTGCAGGGGAAAGAACATAAAAGGGAAACAGTCACATTCAAATCATTCTTAAAAATCTGTTCAATCAGCTTTGGACAGATGAATATTATTTTTCTATTGGTTTTTATGACAACTGAAGACAACTGGGATTTTTATATTTGCTACTGTGCTACACAGAAATATTAGCAGCCTCCGGCGGGTAAATGGGAACACAGCTTATTAGTTACAGTCTGACTACTTTGTCTTTCCCTAAGTCTTTTGCTGTAAGCTTAATATGCTGTCCACAGTTATACTGCTCCACACTTATAAAAACATTTACTTCTGGTGTATACATTTAAACATTCTGTCAATAATGGAAGAAGCTGCAAATGCGAACTTAACTTTGACAAATAAGTTGTTTTGAGCGAAAATCCTTACTAGGTATACACATCTGTGTGTGTGTGCAAGTGTAAATAATCAATATGAATTAGGCCATTCATTTCTTAATATGACTATGTAATTAAGTATAACATCAATCAGTTTTGCCATGATTTACTCTCAGTAATCCATGTGATGGTGGTTGGGGATTAGGGAGAAAAGTATAGAGGCAAAAGAAAGATGAAACATCAGGATGCATATTAAGAAAATTGTATGTGAACGTATGATTTTCTCACCATAAAAAAAGCCTTCACTTTAACCTAGGGTAGATCCCACAGACTCTAGAAAACATGGCCTCTGTAAACCATTTATTAAAAAGCCACTTTTCCAATAGGTTCAGCTCCCCAGAACATAGGGAGAAGACAGAAGGGGGGTAAACAGAGCTGCTGAGAAGCCAGAATTAGAGCTACTAGGTCCATGGAAACATGAATTTAATCCTATTCTCATTTTGGTTCTGGATAGAAGCACCAAATTTAAAGGATATATATGAGTTGCTAAAGGCCGACATTAGTAGATAATTAATATTTGCTTACTGTAATAAGTTATTTTCCTGAATTATGTAAAAGAAATTATTTTTAAAATTTATGTTATTACTTTAATGTATGAGACAAAAGAAAAAAATTCTAAATTCTGATACTTTGAGAATTACTTCCTAAAGTGAGTTTTGAGATGCTTGGAGATAATCCTTTATGCTATCACTAATAAGTTTTTAGAGTAACACACCTAATAGTATTAGTTTTCATCCTTCACATGAAGAGTTGAAAGCATGGAGGAGACAAGAAAAACAAAGCAGCAGATGTAAGAGTACAGAAAACACAGCAGTTTAATGCAGGGCCAACAAGACCTACATTTTTTTTCAATAGAGAAAAACACCCAACATGATCAAAGTATTCTCCACACTGATCATCCTGATACATAAGTTATATATACACACAAAACTTATATATATATATACATATATGTAAAAAAAAGCTATAATGTCAGTTCAAGAAAGCAGTGAAGTTGGCACTGTACGTATTTGAGAATGATTTTAAATGGAGAAATGGTTAAACAACAACAACAAATGTCAGCACTTTATTCAATTCACAAATGGAGACTTCAGCAGTGGTAAGTAAACAGGGCACACAAAGTACCTTAGCTAAGTGTCTGTTCAGGTTAGAAGGTACTTAATCATCCCATAAGGCTGAAGAAGGAGCTCTGGTGACATAGTTCGGTTGCTAACCTCAAGGTCAGCAGTTTAAAACTATCAGCTGTTTCTCAAGAGAAAGATGAGGCTTTCTGCTCCCAGAAAGGTTTACAGCCTTGGAAATGCTATGCAGGGTCTTTTCTCTACGGGTTGGAACCGACTCCATGGCACATAACCACCACCACCAAGGCTGTGAAGACACTTAACAAATGTCATCTACTTTTCCTTTTCTTTTGGTCTTGGCAGCCTCATGCCACCTCTCTATTTTTTGCCCTAGCATATTCTAATGCAAGATACTTTCTATTTGAACATTATATGTAGCACAATACAACCAACTTCAAGTCACCCTGTTATATACCACTGCTTATTACAATGGTTTCATTGTCTCTAAATTTATCTCCTACTCTATCCATTCTCTACATTGCAGTTTTTCTAAAGTATAAATGTCATCATTATGTCACTTTCCTAATGAAATCTCATCATGGCTCTCCAAGGTCCTCAGCACTCCAAAACCTCACACAACACTGTGTGTCCATAGCTGGCTCCTGGACAGTTCCCCATGCTTACTTTTCACTGTCTCTTCTTTTCACCAGCAAGTTCTGGTGGCACAGAGATTAAGTGCTTAGCTAACTGAACTTTGCCATAATGTATTTAGCACAGTTTAAAAAAAAATAGCCATGTTCTCTTATCTCTTAACCTTTGCATATGCTGTGTAGCCTGCTTGAAGTGTCCCCTCCCACTACTCTTTGCCTAACTGATTTGTCCTTCACATCTTGCCTTAGACATGGATTTCTTTGACTGGATCTTCCTGATGCGCCAAGACTGCTTTAGACATGACTCTTAAGTACCCGAAGGACAAAACAATGTATTTTATTTGCAAGTCCACCTCTGTAGGATTTTTGAGGCTTTAAATTATTGTTTGGTCCCCATGTATCCCCAGTACCTTGCCTAACGCCTGACAGATAGTATGCAGTCAATAAATGCATTCTGAATGATTCTGTATTTTCTTTCTCATCTTCTACATTTATTAGATACTCTAATCTTGCGCAACCTCAAATGTTTAGCTAGGTTTCTTTGAACTAGCTAAAGATTCAAACAGAAGTTCTTAGAGTTCATTAACTCCAAAGTAGTCATTTTGTTGTGGCAGTAGATTTGAGACTGGCAGAAAATTGTAAGAAATAGTTTTGTAGATGACATTTGCTAATTTGGATAATAGAATTAGGAAAACCCAACTGTTTGTTGTTGCTGTAGTTGTTAAGTGACATTGACTCAGTTCTGACCCACAGTGACCCTGGACAGGGTTTCCATGGCGTAGCTGGTAGGTTTGAACTGCTGACCTTGTGGTTCGTAGTCCAGTGCTGATCCTACAGTGCCACACCAGGAAAGATAACCAAAGTTTGTAAACACCTAAGAAGGCGTTAAGATTTATCAAAATAATCTTTACAATGATATGGGGAGAATGCAAAGACTTCAAAATCTATGAACATTTATTAGCATTTTTGTGTTCCACCATCAGAAACCTGTTGCCATGGAGTCCACTCTAACTCATAAGCATGATATGGGCATCGATTCATTTAACAATCAAAATCATCTGTAGGTGACCAGTAACTAGTTGCCATCGAGTCAACTCTGACTCATGGTGACCCCATGTGTGCCAGAGTAGAAAAGTGTTCTAGAGAGTTTTTAATGGCTGATCTTTAGAATGTAAATGATCAGGCCTTTCTTCTGAGGTACTTTAGGGTGGACTCAAACGTACAAACTTTCAGTTAGTACTGATGGTGTTAACTGTTTGCACTGCACTATTATTATCCCCATTTTACATGTGAAGAAACTGGGACAGAGTTTAATTCCAAGGCCATACAGATAGTGAGTGGTACATGTAGCAATCGAAATCAAGTAGTCTAGAGTCTGTGCCTACAGACATTATATTAATTTGAAAAGCTAGCTTCAATATATATAGACAGGAGTCCCAAAATTGACAGACATGTGATTACTTTTCTACTCAGTGACCTATTATTCTCTTTGTAAACAAAACATGCAGAAATCAAATAGGTGTAATAAAGCAGATGTTGTCTCTCAGCATAGCTAGCTGCCATACAGCCTTAGCTTTATTTAAGTAATCTTCTGAGATAATCTACACAAGCAGTGCAAGTTATGTTTTTATAAAAATTTAAACCTAAGATTCCTCGGACCACTAGAAGAGACCAAGCTTAGAAAAGTTAAAACTCAGAATGCGAACATGAAAGCATCCATCATCCTGATACCCCATTGAGAAACATAATCAGATGAGCAAATTACTTTTCAATTTCTATGTTTGTCTATTTCAAGAATACTTATTTTTGCAAGAGAAAAAGTAAAATGAGAAACGTTAGCGGCTGTTCATTTAGACTATTCAGTTTAATTATCTTGTATACTGACAAAAGAAAAACACCTGATAGCTGTTTGTAACTCCTCATCCTATATATCCTTCTCTCCTAATCTCCATTCAAACAGGTCCATCCTCTATGGTTTTAGATATACTTAAAAAAAAAAAAAGTATCATTTGTCATGAGTTCCATCTGGTTATTTAAAATTGAACAAAATTTTAATATAAATGACATGAAAATATTTAAAATATATAGAGATGTTAAAATTATTTTCCCAGAAATACCATTAGAATATTTGAATAATTCCTGTTTTTATTTAATGTAGTATTCATACTTAGAAAACCCAAATAAGCATATTTTTTCTAAATATTTGTTTTCCCTTTAATCTCATCTGCCAAAGGCTTAATACTTCATATTTTGGTTTCTGTTTATACCCACCAAAAATTCACTGGTGTCTGTAGTTCACGAGATCTATTAACATTTGAAGAATAATGTTGTATTTGTTATTTGTGATACAGTTAATATAGAACATAAGAATAGTGTTAGTAAAGCAGTTTCAGTGGGAGAAAAATCGAAGTTAAACACTCAGTGTTCTAGTTGACAGATACATACTAAGATTGAGACCCATGTAATTTAAAAATGGTCAGAGTATTAAGCTATTCATAACAGGATAAATTTTCTTTGTAACATAGAATGTGTCAGCAATGCAATGTTTTGATAAGATGCTATTGAAAAAAGTGTGTTTATGAATTCTAGGTATCATATCCCTATGGATAGTATATTTTAAATAAAAATAATTTTACTTAAAAAGTACCTAGTATCTTTAGTTTGTACAAAAGTTCAATTACAAAACAAGGACAAAATTAAGAGGACAAATTAAGAGTTATTTTAGAGGAAGTGGGGAAATGCAAGGAGAAGAGATAAATTATGTCTACAAAAATTATTTTATTTCTCCAATAACACAATGTGCAACTTTGCTGAAAATAAAATAGTAGTAGTAAGAAGTAAATTTAAATTATGCAATTATATTTAAATAGTCAGTATATAAGACCCATAAGAAATGGGAAGTGTTCTTTCATTACAGGGGTGCTAATAAGCACTGCTGAAACATCCCTTAGAGTGAAAACTATAAATCACATCTCTTGGGAATTGTATACAGGATATCTCAAATCATAAGAGTAAAGGAGAATTTATCATTACAAGTCATCAGTTTACCTTCTCTTTTATTTACTGAATTACTAGGTGGCCAGATTGAGTCCCTAGTTATTTTATTAGTCATATCACACTACTGAAGCAAACACCAGGAATTTAGTTGGGATTTTAGGGAAGGGAGGAGCTTTTTAAAAATCATAGTAAAACAAATGTGTAGAAGAGATAATCCATTTACATTATATTTATAAAACACTTTTACTTTTTTTCCCAATAGAACTGGTACTCAGGAAATGGTGTTTATTTCTTGAACCAAATTATAAAAATATAACCATAGCTATCAACTAATTTTCAAGTAGAAGTTAAAAACAGACCTGGTGTTATAATTTTACTTACCTCATAGATAGTAGTTGGGCTTCAAGGTTGCTTACTTACACAATTTAATGTTTAATAAAACCCCCAAATTAGCAAATGACAGCTTTGAAAGACATACCCTATATTTATTTTTTACTTTTCCAAGTTGGGGCTTCTCACTGAAATGATTATAATTATGTCACTCAATTTTATCTGTACAGTACCACATACAATATCAAAGAGGAAAAAAGGTAATAATGACATAATTCAATAAATGGAAACAGCATTCATCTGTTCAAATAGAAGGATGAAGGGGTCAAGTTGCTGCTTTTTGCATTTAAAAATATTGTTAAAAAACTTCACCTTAAAAAAAATTTCAAGTAAATACCAATACAATTAATATTATTGTGAATTAAATCAAGCCTTACCAGATGCAGTGTCTGGTATATTAAGTTTGCTTAAGTGCTCTTTTTGTGCTTTTGCTAGCATGCATATTCTATGAAATTCTTCTTTTAGATCCCAGAATGTCTTCTCTATAAAATCCCTAATTAAAAAAAAAATCAAGATAAGGCTATAATTTTCATGTATTTTTTAATCACAATTAAACTTATACATACCAACTTTTTATGCACCATGAAGCAGTTACTGAAAGGTTAAAGTTAAATATTATTTCAAATTCCGAGCAAATGCTCCATAACAACTCCAATGTTTAGAGAACTATGCACAAAGTAAGAGGCAAATTAAAAGTTTTAATACATAAATATGGTGTCCTGGTGTGGTGCTGTAGAATAAGCACTGGACTATTAACCACAAAGTTGGTGGTTCAAACCCACCAGCCGCTCCTTGGAAAACATACATACATGGTTACTGTGCGTCAGAACCAACTAGATGGCACACAACAACAATACATAAATACAGCGCAGACTACCACATCTACTTATTCATATATCACACGTTGGCTCTTATTCTTACCTACATTAGAAATTTTAATGCATTAACTTTTGTTCTCTGAAAACAAATAGGAAGCATTAAATATTATTCTTCATTTTGGTAAGGTTCATATTGTTGTTGTAAAGTGCCATTGAGCAGGTTCTGACTCAATGGGACCCAGTATAGAGTTTCCAGTGAGCAGCTGGTGGGTTTAAACCACTGACCTTGTGATTAGCCGTCCAGTACTTATCTTACAGCACCACAATGGGACACAAGCTCACATTAGGGTCCATATAAAACAATGTGGTAATAATAGTTGGTATACTTAAAGAGTAGAGCTTCAGCTAATTCAGGTTTTAGATTCATTAATTAATATGACTTTAATTAGGTCACTTTAACATGTATGAGCCTCAAGTTTATAGTTTTGTTGCTCTCCCACAGTTCTTAAGAAAATGTTGCTATTTTCTTATAATTACTAACCATTACAAACTGTATTTCTTCATTTATAATTTTTAGAGTTGGCAAAGAAGCTTACAGAATTACCTTTCATGGAATAAAGGAATGTCAACATTACTTGGCAAAGTTTCTTTTCTAGAAGAAACCTCTTGTCTTCTTACCTTAAAGACACAAATGATTATCACTTTAAAGCCATTCTAAACTCAAATAATAAAGGGTTAACAGAAAATATAATGGGAAATTTATCTTCCATACTACAAATGAAGCTGAGACAGTTTTATTTACATATATAAACACATACATATGAGAGGGCTTCAAAAAGTTTGTGGAAAATTAGAATTAAAATTGAATGGATTTTTTCCATGGACTTCTAGAAGCCATTTTATGTACACATGTAAATGCACATGTATATCTGAAATACTGTACATTAGAATTTATTTTAAATTGGAAAAATCAAGGAAAGAAGAAAATGAGGTAGAAAAACAGCAAAAAGACATGAAATATTTCTGACAACATTTTCAATACTGGTAATTAAAAAACAAAACAAAAATCCAAACTTAATTATTGGTTAAAATTGCTACTCTGATAACCAAGAACCTGACAGGACCAAGTTGGGGGAATCTGAGTGTATTTACTTCTCATGCTCTATTCATTAATAGTGGACTAAACATTGATACCCATGCCTTTACATTTTCTTGCTCTTTGTTGAGAAATGCAGCTGTATTAGAGGAAGAAGAAAACCCAAGCTGTAGCTCCTTAGCATTTAACAAGCATTTTAAAGGTTTATAAATACAGTGCAACAATGTATTTAAGCTACTTCCACACAAGTTCTTACCTTTCACTCCCACCCTGTGGCTTACATTGGTATTACATTTATTCTGATATTTAAAAAGTCAACATTAAAAAACATGTAATAATCATCTGTAGCACAGATTAAAAAAAAAAAAAATCATTGTTATAAAATTTTGGGGGACCCTGGTGTGGCACTGTAGGATAACCATGGGACTAATCGAAAGTTTGGCTGTTCAAGCCCACCAGCTTCTTCTCCAAAACTTCATACATGGTCACTGAGTTAGAAGTGACTCAACAGCACTTAATAGGAAGCTATATTCTGAAACTGTGACCTAACAAACTCAGTGATTTGAAGAAGTCCTAGTATTATAAAATTATACATGGTAATTCAGCTAAAATCAAGTTCACATTTAGTTCACATTCAAACCAGTGGGCATTTATGTTTAGTGACTTGTAAGATTTTACTCAATTAAGGTCATTGTTTATTTCAAAAAATGAAAGATTTTACTTCATTGTTTATCTTCTTGATTTTCAAAATAATTTTTTTTCAGTTTCTAATAAATCTTATTTATCCTTTAAGAAAAAAAAGTCCAGTTTGTTTTTCTTAAAATATCTATTCCAACTTACTTTGTTCTCATTTACAGCTTTTTCTAAATACTAAAAAGCTTGCCTAACATTTCTGAACAGTGTTGTTATACAGTAGCTCTGAGTTAGCAAAATAAAATTCTGACAACACAATTTGTGATTTTATGTTACATCATCAGACTGAGGTAAAATAAAGATCATTTTATTGCTGCATACTGTCTGACAAACATTTATGTCCTGACTTCTGGATTAAAACTGCAGTTAAGCTTTATAAAGTAGTCACATCAGAAAACATTTTCACATTCGCAGTTTGTTTTTAAAAGTGGTAGACAAGGTTTTTCTTTAGTGTTATCTGCAATTAGAACAGTCACTGGATTTCAATGTGGACTAGAAAGAAAGGCAACGTTTTAAAGTCAACTTTCCAAGATGCTATAAGGATAAAAAGAAACTTTAAGAGATTATCCTTATACTTTTATTACCAAAATCGGACAAGAGGCGTATTGAAAAAAAAAAAAAATGGTAATTTAACTGAGTGCTGGTGTGCTGATGTACGATAAGCACTGGACTGCTGACTGCAGGTTGGCAGTTCAAATCCACCAGCTGCTTCTCGGAAACCCCATATATGGTCGCTGTAAGGCAGCATTTAATAACAAACATATCATAACAAGATACATGATTATGTGAAGGTAAGTAATCACAGAAACCTTTATTATACAGAGGTGTCAAAATGTGAAACAGTTTTGTTTCTTGACGTATCCTCCATTTAGGTCCACACATTATTATTGAAGGCAGTGTTTTTCATCTCTCCAAATCTTCTCTGAAGATAGTTCTGCGTTCTTCAGTTTATACATCAAAATGGCAGTTTTGTGAACAACAACAACAAAATGTCTAAAGGGGCAAGATCCAGGCTGTAGGGTGGGTAGGGTGGTGGTGGTAGTTGTGTGTTGTCGAGTCAGTTCCAACTCTATGTAGGGTTTCCGAAGCTGTAAATCTTTACGGAATCAGAAAGCCTCATCATTTTCCCTCAGAGTGGCTGGGAGATTTAATCTACTGACCCTGCAGTTAGCAGCCCTATGTGTAACCAACCCATTATGTCACCAGGGTTCCGGGGTGTATGTGGGAAAATTTCCCAATGAAATTCCACGTAGGACAATTTCCACCACCCTCAAAGACTGAGCAGGTACATTGTCATGATGGAAAATAATCCTTCAACGCAGCTTTCCTGGATTTTTCTCACTTAATGCTGCTTTCAATTTTCTTAAAATTTCTTCATAATTATTTATCATGTTTGCCTTGTGTTCTTCATGAAAATCTATCTAAATTATCCCTTTGGAATCTCAAAAACCAGTCTCCATAACTTTCTGAGCTGACTTTTCTGTTAGAATTCAACTGTCCTAGCAGATCTCTTTGGGAGACAGTTTTGACAGGATCTTGCTATTAGGATCATATTGGTAAATGCAAAATTTGTCCCTAGTTCTTCATTACCTTTGATCGTATTTACAAAACTGATGGAAAGATCAGTTCTTTGAGACAGCTGATCTTTGTGCAAAAATTTTGGCACCCATCGAGGCAAAAACCTGCTGAGGGCAGTATGTTTGCTTAAAATTGAAAATGCCCAACCATGTGAGATTCCCAACTTCCACAGTTACCCCACCAATGGTAATTCTATAATCTGCCATCAGTTTCTGGACCACAATCACATTTTCTTCATTTGTCAAGGTTGATGGTTTTCCCTGTTTTAGCTCATCTTTGAGGTTCTTTCAGACCTTTAAAATGTTTGATCCATCTAAACACTGTTGTTTTCTATAAGAAGCATTCCAGTAAACTTGTTGCAAAACTTCAGATATTTAGAAAGATGTTCATTTGAGTTTTGCTAAAAATTTGATACCAGTGCTGACCTCAAAATAGTTTTTCCCATGCCACAAAGAGTATCCTTTTTTTTTTTTTTTTAAGGCACCCTACGAGGCTAAGGCAAGAGTATAACTGCAGCCATCTACTGATTGTAGAGACATGTTTAAACATGCTTTGTTTCAAATACTCCATGCATGTATGAATTGGAACCACAGTAGCAATACTTTCAAAATTTATTTTGATGTAAACTAAAAATGATTGATTCTGAAACTGAGAAAGCCTTAGAAATTAATGGGGTGAAGTTTTAGACATACAACATAGATGTATCTTGAAAACATGCTGAACGATATGTTATATACATAAAAGGACAAATATGAAGGGTCTCTTATTGTATGAATGCACTTACAGGCAAAGGAAAATAGATAGAAGTTACTAGTTACTGGTGGTGATGGTGGTCTTGTGTGCCATGGAGTTGGTTCCTTGTACAGGATTTCCGAGGCTGTAAATCTTCATTGAGCAGAAAGCCTCATCTTTTTCCCATGAAGTGGCTGGTTGATTCAAACTGCTGACCTCGTAGTTAGTTGTCCAACTCACAACCCACTACACTATCAGGGCTCCTTTACTAGTTATTTTGTTGTTGTTGTTGTTAGGTGCCATCAAGTCAGTACTGAATCACAGCGACCTTCTGCACAACAGAACGAAACACTGCCCGATCCTGGGCCAACCTCACAATTGCTGCTATGTTTGAGCCCACTGTTGCCGCCACTGTGCCAATCCATTTAATTGGGGGTCTTCCTCTTTTTCTCTGACCCTCTACTTTACCAAACATGATATCCTCCAAGACTGGTCCCTCCTGACAATATGTCCAAAGTATGAAAGACAAAGTCTGGCCATCCTGGATTCCAAGTATTAGTTACTGTTGTTGTTGTTACGTGCCATCAAATTGGTACCGACGAAAGCGACCTTATGCACAACAAAACCTCACAGTTGTTGCCACGCTTGAGCCCATTGATGCTGCCATTTTGCCAATCCATCTTGCTGGGGTTCTTCTTCTTTTTCTCTGACCTCCATCTTACCAAACATGATATTCTTTTCCAGCGACTGGTCCCTCCTGACAATATGTACTAAGTATGAGAGACGAAGTTTGACCATCCTGACCTCCAAGGAGCACTCTGGCCGCACTTCTTCCAACACAGATCTGTTTGTTCTCTGGGCAGCCCATGGCATTTTCAATATTCTCTTCCAACACCATAACTCAAATGCATCAATTCTTCTACAGTCTTCCTTATTTACTGTCCAGCTTTTGCATGCATATGAGGCTATTGACAATATCATGGCCTGGGTCAGGTGCACCTTAGTCCTCAAGCTGACATCTTTGCTCTTCAACACTTTAAAAAGGTCGTGTGCAGCAGATTTGCCTAATGCAGTATGTCGTTTAATTTCTTGACTGCTGCTTCAATGGTTGATCCAAGAAGAACGATGTCCTTGACGACTTCAGTCTAGTTACTAGGGATGAGGAAATAATGTAGAGTTATTGCTGAAGGTGTACTGAGTTTGTTTGTAGTGATTTAAAAAAACAAAACCAACTTTGGAAACGGATAGTGGTGATGGCAGCACAACATGGCAAGTATAATTACTGTTATTGAAGTGTACATTTAAGAATGGTTAAAATGACAAATGTTTTGGCATGTATACATATACACACACACACACACACATATATATATATATGTCAACAGAAACTTAGTTGCAATAACCCTCCATTATTTCCTCTTCTCTAGTATATATATGGAATCCTGGTGTGGCACTGTGGGTTAATGTGCTGGACTGCAGTTTGTTTGAACTGCAAGGTTGGCAGTTCACCAGCCGCTCCTTGGAACCAACTCGGTGGCACTTAACAAGAAGTTGTTACAATATATGGTCTGGTGTGGCA